GGTCCATGAAAATACGAATACAGTATGGACGATTTAGATTTTTGCGTCAACGATGCAGAGATCGATAATAGAAACGCAAAATGCACTATGTATGCAAACAGAAGTCAGAGGATAAAATGATTGCATGTGGTGGTCCAAACTGTACATGGGCCTAGGCCTAGTAATACGTGGTACCACTATTTCAACTGCATAGGCTTGACACCAAATGAAATAGCCTTCCTATCGATGGCCTGGGCTTGTAAACGGTGCGTAGTCGCTGCTTCAGCATGAGCGGGTGACAGCAACCTACAGGGGCCTAGCTGAGAGAAACAGACGGGTTCCGTACCGTCTGTTAAAAAAATGTACCCTGTATTTTTTTAAAATTTTGCCTAATATGGGCTAAAACATCGACCTGTAGTATTAATAATTTTGGTAGGCCCCCTATTTCTTTGATTGACTTCAGTTTTCATACCTACTTTTGTGTATGTTGTTTTTTATTGATGACTGGAAATTTATTTTCACAAACCTAGATTAATAAATACTGCAGGTAGCCATATTTATATGTATTGTATTTTTTTGTGTGTCCTAATTTAAAGGCAGATAAATGTAGGCCTGCCTAGGCTAGGTGTAATCGTGTGATGGGGTCGTAACTTAATTTTAATTCAAAGTTCTGTTGAATCCAATACAAAAAATACCATGCAGTAGTTAAATTATTTGTATTTCATACCTTTTTTTAAAATTTTAATACAGTAATTTTATATTTATTTTCAGAAAAAAACAGACTGAAAGGCCTGCAAGTGTTTACACCAAAGAGGAAATTGGAGGTGCACTGAAAGCTTTAGATAGTCACCAATGGATGTAATAATAATATTGTAAATGTACTTGCAGATACTGTACAAAATTTAAAAAAACAGTAGCTTAAAATCTAAGATAAAAAGCTTACGGAAAGGAATTGTAAATATGTTGATGTACAGGTATGTGGAAATCTGCCTGATGGTGCTGGAATAGTAATCGCTTGTGTAAATTAATAATGTAAATAATAAAAATACAATATTATGTTGAGATATTGAGGTACTAATTGCTTCTTGAAATGATGAATATAACATAATTATGTATTCAGAGATGGCAGTAATAGCACAATAAATGAATTTAAAAATATTTATTGAGACTTTATTAAGGCCAGTGTGACATTTATCACATTTAATGCATCGAATCTCTTTTGTTAAAGTGGTGGCTCTGAAAAGAGCCCTTTGGTTTGGAATTTCTGTGCTGTATTAGTGCGTCTTGCAGTTTGGTAGTGGTGCTATCCAGTGAAGTATTGGTTCATTGTTGCGATTAGAGTTTACTGTCGTGTGTTTAAAAAATGCCTGACACTTGAGTTGGTAGTCCAGCCTCCAACACCTCTCAATCACAAGATCTTGACAGAATTTCTCACTTAAGATGTAGAGTACGGTACTTGCTTAACTCAACAAATTCACTGTGGAAAAGCAAAATTATGATTTATTTATTCTATACCATACAATTAAAACATTATCATCAGCAATACAGTTTCATCAATAATGATTTTATTTCCTGCACAACAACATACAAAGAGAAAAACAAGCAAAATAATAATTATTATAGATACTGTAGGTCTTGAACATATTATTATTAAATGATGAACAAGTCATATTCAACAATAGAGAGACTTAAAAAGAACATGAAACACATTCTGAATAAATACACACAATAAAAATACAGGTTAGATATGTTTGTAGGAGTGTGGACCTATTAACTAGCTATCCTAATATTTAAAATACAGGCCTAGGGCATAGCCTACTATTATTACAGTACATTCAACATAGAGAAGATAGGGGCCTAGGCCTAGATTACAGATAGGCCGACCTAGCCTAGGCCCTAGGAAGCCTATGAACGTCACGATAACCAGGCAGATGCGCATTTCTACGATCGACATATCACGATATCATCAGAGAACCACCATCACCTAAAATCACTATAAAAATTTTGTAAAGAACTGTAAAGATAAAACAACCATGTTTCAATGAAGTTTTGTAATTTATCTAACTGTTGTTCGTATGTGTTTTGTGGAGAAGTCGGGAGAAACGGTTAAAAATGCATTTAAATGGCACCAAATTCTCATTTTTTTCTAGAAAAATCGATCACAAACAAACTAAATAATCTTACCTTCAAATCTCAGTAACTTTTCAACAAAAAGTCGTATTCAAATTCGGGTTTTTGGTACTTGTAGCTACGAAAAATCTTCGATCCACCGCACACAAAAACCTAACACTAAAGGTTATTTCTAGTATCTTTGAGGTTACCTAATATGTCAAATTCATTCTCAAATGGACCCAAACTAATGACGTCAGTAAAATTTGTTGCTCCACTCGTTCGATATTCACCGATAGAGGGTGTCCTATAGGCGGAAAAGATGAGTTAATTCAAAGGCGCTTGAGAGAGCGGGCTGCGATAAGAAAACGCTTTGAAGTTTCCAAATAACGCTTATCACTGATTAGCTGAAGGCTAATTAGGTATTTTCAACAGTTTAATGTGTGTATGTGTGTCTCTCGATCGATCGCGGAGAACCAGGCAGCCGAACGAAAGCCTAATGCGCATGCCCAGAAAGGCGATAACGTAAGAAATAACGGTACCGAGCTTATCTTTTCATAGTTTATTCCGATAAATATACCCCTCTCTTATCTTGTCGGAAAAGATGATTGATAAAAGGGCAATGTCCTTCTTATTAATAGGTCTATGCAATAACTGAGGCCTAGACTGATTTTAAAATTCGACCGTTCACACCTCGCACACAGGCTTGATGTATTATTTTATTCCGAAAAAAAGTCTTTACGCAAGGTAAAGACCAATATTTAATTGAAATCGAACGCCAAGAACTGTAAAGGTATGGTTTAATATATTTTGTATTTTACCCTTATGATATATCTTATCAGGATGTGGTTTAATAGAAGGCCTGTGTATGTATGCTAACGGGGACGGGTAAGGAATTGATAACTGACGCCATATTGAAAAATGGAATTTCTCTGGCACCAAGTGATAGAAAGACGAATGACACGTCATATTTTACTGATTCTGGCATTAACAATTCACTAGAATAATTATTGTAAAGTTTAGAACTAAAAAATTAAGATGGACGCAAAAACAAAATGCTGTTCAACAAATAATAAAACTTTAGCCTTCATTATTATATAGTACGGTATTGCAATGTAAGCCCCATAGATGGAATTTACCGTACTTTACTTACTAATCAACAAATTACATCAGTTTATCAAGTGGAGAAAAACAAATTATATTTAAATTTAAGTCTAAAAGTGCCATTTATGGCCATTTAGAGATGCTATAATCATAAATTTCCTATATCTCAGCCCCATTATGGTAGACTATCTATGAAAGTCCCTCTCTGCCCTTCCCCCATATTTCGAATTCTTGGATCCGCCACTGGGCACCGGCCTTAAAGATGAAAAAGAGGATCATTTACTATAGGAACATCATTTATATTGCTTTTATACACCTGGATAGAGAGAGAGAGAGAGATACAAGCCAAAATCTAGTGTCTTGTACAAGGACACCTGCTGTGTACATTGCCTGGGTTCTTGGACAAGACACTTCGCTTGTTTAAATTCCCTAAATAATGTACAGTACTTCTTTTTGATAAGCTGATGTAATATTTTCATTCATATCATGGGCTGTAATTTCAGGACTGGCATCAGTCTGTGTAGATTTGCAGCAAAGCTTACAAACACAATCCTAAGTATGATTAGTGACAGTAGTATCATAACACTTAACACAGGCATCTTTTTGGTTTACAGTTCAATATTCTGTTTCAAATATAAACATGGTTGATATCAGTAGAAGTTTCTGGGTGTTCTTTCATTTAACCAACTGCATTTACAACTCTCATTTTAGGGACCAGGTCTACCAGGGTGTAATGGTTTCTGTAAATAATAAATAGACAATAATTATTTCTTGATAGCCACATTATACTAATGTCCTTGTAAATTATTAGCACTCTACAGTAATTTTTGAAGAACATCCCATTAGAGTAACTGAACCACAATACTGGTAGTGTATTGTGTCTGCTTTCAGTAGGTCATACATACTGTACAGCATTTGGATACATATATTATTTTTTTTTAAAAAACTATCTACAGTATCTAGGAAACAAAGAGCAAATTTTAAACAGAAAATTATTTTTTAAAATCTGAGATTGAGTTAAAATGTTTGGTTATTAGAATTAACATATTCACAGCACATAGTCAAACAGGCAAAATAAGCTTTTGATATTTAACTTACATTGTCATATCCCATGCTGATGAGTTCACCATTGATGACTGGGCTCTGTCAATGAAATAGAGTAGAACAAAGCTGTAAAGTAAACCATAATTTAACATTTAGAATTATTACTTAATAAAATAGTACAGTAATTATAATCATCATTTTTCCTCATACAAAAACTATTTATTCCATCAAATAGTTCAGAAAAATTGTTAAATTTTAAATTACAGTTTGAGAATACAAAAGGCGATAATAGAGGGCCACCACTGGTATACACCAGCCTCTGTCTCTTATACACATCTAGATGTGTATAAGAGACAGCTCATAAAGGGTATTTACCGATCGAATCTATAGGGGTGTTTTTGTTTTTTGAATAAATCAGTGCAATGAAACATGAAATGAATCCTGAGTAATGAGTCAAATGTTTTTTTATAGGGCCTAAATTGTAAGATTTGCCATCACCATGTCGGTAAGTTGTACCATATAAAAATTGTATACCATATTGCTTTATTACTTACATCCACAATGGGGCTTTTAATAGGTTTCTGCCCAATATTTGGTGGTTTAATAATACACCAGCCCAATGACCTTAATATAAAGAATATCATTGGATTACATGCTATTGTATGTAACATCTTGGGAATATTTCACAATATTGCACAGCACAGTTTCATTCAAACCTACAGAGCAACGTAAGGCATGTATAAGATTTGTTGGTTATTGCTATATTGCATTCAACGCAACCACATCTATTACTGCATTGAGAATTTGAATTGCTACTAACAGTAGAAATCAAACCACTAAAACTATTCTTTTAAACCTTTTGTAGGCCTCGCATAGCAATGCTTTCGGGATTAATCTGGGCAATTTAATTATAGAAAATAGAATTATCACGAGATAGTGACGATGTGGGTGGCGATAATGGAATACACATTTGCCCTTAAATAAGCAGCGAAAAATATATCTTCTATTTTTCTGGCTCTGATATCAGAAGTAAATGGACAGAAGTATATTCTGAATTATATACCGGTATTTGCATATTTATATTTATAATTATACTTATCTGTTATTAATATTCCTTACACCCTTAAACATTACATATATCATTCTTGCAGCATTTCCTTTTCTATACTGCATTGCCTGTTTGTTGTTTGTTCCACGTCTGTGCTTTTTGTCTTTGTCCTGCAATTTTTTTTTCGTAACCCATACAAGTTTGAGTCACTACCTAAATTTGAATAATATGGGTTTAAAGGCACAATTTTCTGGCCATCATAAATCATAACTAATTGTTATTGACATGATCTAATGCAGTCTTTTCAACCTTAAACAAGGCTATATGTGAATGAATGTTGATTTGTTGATTATTTATGTTAAAACATACATTTTGTTACTTGCGTTATCTTTCATGGTAATCTGATGTGGAGAGTAGATATAGACGTAATCAGTTCATTTATATGTTTAATGTATATATGTATATTTGTATACAAATTTTATCATTATTTTTAACAAAGCTCACATAAATATACCGTCAGTAACAATCTGTAAAATAAAAGTACAGTACAAATTTTATAACATCATATTAGATATATCAAGGAAAATATTTTAGGTCAAAATGTACTACGATTTAATGGTAGTGCTTGGGTAAACTAAAAGCTAAATTAAATATCACACCTATGCTCCTCATCGATTATTATGAAAGGGTTGGTTACATCGTGGAGCATTTTCGGAATCCATTTTAAATTTTGATAATTTTTTTATCCACGGTGCAGAATTACTATGATTAGGTGTAAGTATTACAAATAATAAATATTAACTCCTATTCATCGCTTTGGTGACATCTTAGGCCTACTATAATGATAAATAATAATTAAATGCATTCTTATATAGAGCATATCACTAATGTGTCTATGCGCTGCACATAGGGGTTCTATTGTACTTTTAAGTTGTCCCAAGAATATGAAATTGGCTGGCAATGCGTGATTTTTAATGAATTTCAACACTGTAGGAAGGGAGAACACCCCTACAGTAAAACTTTGAAAAAAGGAACTAACTAGAATATCATTATTAATTATGTTTTTTTTTTTTTTTTTTTTTACTTCTACAGAAATATATAATGGTAAGCTTTCAGTCGAAATACCGAGAGTAAGTGCACATTATTTAATAGCACAGATGATAGTAACTTTGGCATGGAGAAACACTTCAATTAATAATCTAAGAAGTATAATAATTTCTGACAAAATGTATTTTTCCCATTTAAGCCTACGTGGCAATGCTGGCATACTTCCCTGTTTTTATTGTGTAATACATTTGAAGTACGGTAAATCACAAGACGATGATAATGCTAATAATAATAACAATCAAAATAATGATACTTGATAATGATTATGAAGATAATGAAAATACAGTAATAATAATAATAATCCTGATAATTATAATAATTATGTAATATATAATAATACAATTTATAAGATATATATATATATTTTTTATTATAATTAAAGAATTGTCCGAAGGATAGTAGATCGTTTGCGAAAGGAAGGTTACATAGTGTGGATGGATGAAACGGATATGGAAAATCGTATTGCAGATGACTTAGCTAATGCCATTAAAGACGCAGAGGTTGTTCTGGTGTGCTTATCAAGTAATTACAAAGACAGCGTTTACTGTGAAAGAGGTAATTACTATCATTATATTTAGCCATATTTAAAAAATAATATTTGGCCATCCCAGGCGCATGGTCTGTTTAATGTTATTGTTTCACACCATTAACTTTAAGATTATGTAATTGTGTTATATTTATTTTATCATTACATAATCAATTCATTTTTTTTTTTTGGGATTCTTTTAGATTTATATAGCGCACATATCTAATGAATCAATCTTACACAACGCGAATAAAATTACACCACGTAGATAAATTAAAGTATATTATCAGAAATGTTCATGGCATTGGTGGGCAAGTTCAAATAAAGAAGAATTGACAGGTTTGCGAAACTAGAGAAGTTTCGTTTATCCCGGAGGTTTAATAGTATATTACAAATCAACTGGCGAGAGCATGAACGAATGCATGAGAACCCGTGTTTCCCTAGCCCTCGAGAAAATGGTACTCCGTTTCTCCTTTTTTTTTCTATATGCCAAACCAATGAACCCCCAAATTTGACCTATCCTTATGTCTTTATCAAGGTCTTTATGATGTACCTTGATAATGACCCTAGGAGGTCGAAATATTGGTTTTCTCAAATGAAGTGTTGTAGTTCATATATAGTTATGTATTTGTTTCCGATTATTTCTTATATTACCGTACTGAAACACACATGGAACCTCCATGTTGTAGTCTTTTATATATACTTTATTTATAATTTTGTCAGCTGTTTCATGTGTATTCCATTCCATCGTTAACTTATTGTGTTTACACTTTACCCCATTTGCTTGTCATCATGTCTACTTTTGTGCATAGACAAATAAATAAACAAATATAAATAATAATAGTAATAATAATAATAATAATTATTATTATTATAATTATATAAACAATACATATCTTATATTGCGCAAACATAATTATCTGGCCACATCTCAGTGCGCTTTACACAATTTAAAAATGTATAATTTTAACTAATAGTACAGAGTATTCACTAATCAAACAACTATTCCTAATTTGACACAATTTCACAAATTTGTAATGTCTTGAAACTTTTATGTTGACATATTTTGCATTTTCTAAATCGTTTTAAACTTTTTTAAACTTTCGTGTATGTATTACTTTTTTGTACTTTATGACTTCAACATCAATTTTCATTATTCCAATGAGGAAAAGCCCTATACTATGTTTACTAAACAAACATAGTTTAGTTATTATTATATTATATTATTATATCATTTCTTATTAATATGATTTATTGTTAGGCCTATTATTATTATTATTATTATTATTGTTATTAATTATTATTAATTATTATTGTGAAAACATCTGAATATTGAATAAAATGCTGCTAACATTTACACTATGATTTGATTTAGAAAGTAACAACGTTGCACACTTCAGGAAGCCGTTTATTGTACTTATGATGGAAAGGTTCACGATGGATGGCTGGGTTGCTAACTATTATAGTGAACGTCTCTATACTGACTTTTCAAAAGAGGAAATGTTTGAAACGGGGTTTCAAAATCTGCTTGAACGTCTACAGAGGGATCACCCACACTTGGTAAGAATTTTATTTCATTTCATTTATTACGACATAAAAAAACATATAAATATACCATTGTCATGTGGTAGGAATAGGATTATCGACAGAAGCTAGAAGTTAGTCTAAATCATTAGAAATACACTAAATAATATTCCCAATACGTCGAAATGGAAAAAGTAAATAAATATTATGAAAATACATACTGTAAACATCGTTTTCCTGTATCAAAGTCAATAAAGCTCGTAATAGGCTCATTTCTATTAATGTATTAGGCCTACTTGGTGCATGTAATAGCAAAAAAATAAAACGTAATAAGCTCCCATATATGTGATTTGCTTGTTTGTCTTGGTTTTCTGAATTGACCATAGCACTACAAATAACTGAACATAATAAATATTAAACAGTAAATTGTTCGTAAAGAACTAACTCATGTCCCAGAAATTCATGAGAATAAAATAAAAATAAAATAAAATAAAATAAAATAAAATAAAATAAAATAAAATAAAATAAAATAAATAAAATAAAATAAAATAAAATAAAATTAAATTGAATTTTTAAAAATAATAAAAAAATAAAATTAAATGAAATAAAATAAAATAAAATAAAATAAAACAAAACAAAATAATAAAATAGTTCTCAATCAATGGACTGTAATAAAATAAACAAATAGGAGGAGTATTTTGGTGTGAATTACAAGTATAACCCACTCAGCGTGAGGACTTGTTTCCAGTGAAGTTTTTTTAGTGGTGAATTGGGCAGTACGCCGGAAGATGACGACGACGGGGGCAGCGGCGGATGCAACTACGACAACAACAATATTCAAATAGTTTCACCTGGTTTACTTTTTATAACTGTAGAACTTGTTTGCATTTACATTTTGGTGCTTTATTTATCGATCAAACAATCCCCTACTCTCTTCAAAAGAGTCTACTGCATACTTAAAACGCACATGGGCCATATTGCATACGGGGCCAACGGTTTAAACGGCTCATCTGAAAAAATAGGCCTATGCGCTATCGTAACTTGTATTTCAGCCCTCCAATTGAAACACAAGGAGGCAGCGGATGGAATGAAATGGGGGCTATATGATCTCCATGGTTCTTTATGACTTAATGAATCATCTTCTATTTCAATTTAATGCGTTTAAATTTAATGTTATATGTTTGGGTTTTCTTTTTGTCAGAGTCGTAACGTACCTAATCCAACACCTTCTGATTCACAGGCAACAACCAATAATCCACTACCTTCGAATCCAGGTTAGTTCAGCAGAGAACCTAGTTTTTGTTTTATACTAGCATATACCCCTGCTCCGCACGATGTTAAATGAGTGATAAATGGTGGCGAAGCATATTTAAATGTTATAAGAAGTTGAAGAGGCAATCATTGAGGATGTTATCAGGGGCGGTGCTAGCGGTGGTCCAGGGGTCCCGGGGTACCACTGGATCCCCCGTTTGGACCCCCTGTTGGGAAATTTCCAGCAAAGTCGTCGGGAAAAAATCAAATCTCGAGCGCCAAAGTACAATTCAAGCATGCCTTACTAAGCTGTCAAAATTTTAGGAATTAAAAACTGCTTAGTGCCAGCAGTGTTACCGTATGTGCGAGGTGCTGTATTTTCGATCGTATTTGTTGCAGAGGTGCGCCAGCTCTTTCCCGACAGGGGCTGGTACCCCCGACAGGGGGTTAGTACCCCCCGACAGGTAGACTAGTACCTCCAACACCCTTTTTAAAGAAAGAATCCAATAATTAACACATTTTATTATTGTTTTATTCAAAAGAAATTCCCCGACAAATTGAATTTTCCCCTTACGAAACTGCCAATTCTGTACAAATTTAGAGTTGCCATGGCGTCATTATTATGGAACTGATTTTTCTTTCTTAACATGGTTTCGTTGCTGAAGGCGGTGCAAGTAGTACAGTTAGTGGAGCACAGTCTACTGCACCATCTGGTTATCAGACTGACAGACGACAAGGTAATTGTGACATACATTTTATAAAGAATCATTAATTGTTTTGAATAATCATATCTGGTTCAATTATAAGGAAAATGTATTTTACTAGTGATCTAATTTTTTTTCTTTGCAATCGGCAACGTTTTACACTATCAGCCAATCTTAATGGTTGGCTTTGTTCTGAGGTTTTCCCGTTCTCCAAATTAATCAGGCGGAATGGTAGTATTTTCAGACGTCCTTTTCTTACTTAAAGGGCATGTGGGGGGGGGGGGGCTGGAGAGCTGGCCACCTTCAGTGTTATTTACCTATATGATGTGGCACCTTATATAAACATTCCCGAAAATTGTATTTATTTTTATATTCAACTTTTATATACATTAGTTGCTGAAGCATCTGGTGATCAGAATGACGGACAACAAGGTAATTGAGACATTTTTTTTTATTAAGAACCATTAATAATTTATTTGTTAATAAACTTACATGATTTTTAATAAGGAAAATATATTTATTTACCATCAATTTTTTTTAGCAATCGGCAATGTTTCACAGTATCAGCTAACCTTAATACGCTCTGTGATCCAAATGATGGGCTTGGTTCTGAGCCCCTTTTGTGTGGTATTCTGAAACGTCCTCTTCTTACTTCAAGGGAGGGTATGGGGAGAGGCTAGGGAGCTTAAGCCATCCGATTTTTTACATTTATAAGGTAAAATGATGATGGCAACCTATATAAACATTCCTAAAAGCTGTATTATGCATACAACTGTATATTCATTTATATATTTAGTTTATACAATGGCAACGGGTTTTTTTTTAACTTTCGAATAAAGTTGTTAAACTGCAAGTATAGATCTGTCAATATCACAATAATGTAAAATTCTTGTTGATTGCAGCCTCCCTACCCCTCCCGACCAGTGGGGCAACGCCCGTAAGCTCCCTGTGGCCCACTCAAAGGGGCCCGGGGTCCTCCTACTACCAGTACTACCCAGCACTTTACTACCGAGCCTTGACCCAGTGGCGTAACGCATGTGCTTTCTGGGGCCAGTCCTAGTTCAATGGGCCTGGAGAGCCCAAGGGGGCCCCTTCCTACTACCCAGCACACTACTACAACGCCTTGGTACGGTAACCTTTTCCCTGCTTTTTCTATAATTTAAAAAAAACCAAATATACCACAATCTCATATTCATTCATTCCTTCATTCATTCATATATTTAGTGCAATTGATCCCGCCATTTGTTTATTCACCTGAAAAGAGCCTAGCACTAGCACCTGGTGATTGAGCTGGTACCCCTCATGAAGCAGCCTCTAGTGCAATTTTTTCTAACCTAGTGTAACTTTGATTGTTTTTATATTGCATATATATATATATACTTCATATTACATGAGAAAATATAGTACATATGCCATCAAAGTTTATGCGAATTTAGACTATTATTATAAAAGTCTTTCACTTTTTCAATTCTTTTTAGACAGCGTCATCATGGGTTTTTGAATGATAAGAAAAGGAAGTGGTCAATTTAATTATCTTGAGTTTTATTGAAATCAAATGAGTATTTTAAAAAAGATTATAATGTTTTATCATATAATTGTTTTTGGGCTACGAAGGTTATTACATTCTTAATTAGCAATTAGTATAGTTGCGTATAATACAATAGTTATCATAAGGTTAGATTAACGGATGAAAAAGTGATATTTAAAAAAAAAATCAACTACGGTAGCAGTCGTCAGTTGGTATAGTGATGTAATCAGTACATTACATATTAACTCATATTGTAGGTTACCAGCTTAAGTACATAGCTGGTGCTGCAGTACGCACTAATAGCAGTAACAAATGATATGCTTTTTGATAGTAGTCTGAATGATGAAGATGAATAAACACTTGTTTTTGATGAACTTAAAGTAATGTATTTTATTGATTTCAATTTATAAAGTAATTTATACAACTACTAAGAATACGATTTCAGGAAGCAAAACAGTCGCTTAATTTTTTATGCTTAAAAATGTAAATAAATACAAACTAATCAAGAATGATTGATATTTGAGGAAAATTCAAGAGTTTTATTTAGAATATTTCATGTAAATGAATATACATGCTACGTGAAATTGCATAAATTACTCTTCAGAATGAGCAAAATTACCTAAGATTTTTCATCACCATCAATAATTCATACACACATTTTCTCAATGTTGGTTGCATTCTAACATTTAACTGTTTTAAGTAAAACAACATATTTTGTCTATGAGATTCGAACCCAAGACATTATCATCTTTGTATTACTAACAGAGGTGTTTCTATACCAAGTGCCCACTAAAAATAATTAAAACAATAAAAATGTTTAAAATAATAATAATAATAATAATAATAATAATAATGACAACGATGATGATGGTATAGCACCTCAAATTGATACAGCCTCAAGGGACTTTAGATAATATATTGCACTCCAAAAAAAAAGTGATTTTATTTTGTTTTGGGATAAGTGAAACTCAGTTGTGTATCATAAATATATTTCTATGTCCAAGAGAAAGCTACTGACTTGCTAAACCTGCCCTCGAGAGCACAGATCCCACAATGCTTGTTTTTATGAAAGTGATATTAAGAGCTATAAGACAAATCAAAGCATATACAGTATATAGAAGAGCATTATTATTTACACATTCAGTATATCCTACAATTATTGCCACAATTTACACTTAAAATAAACAATGAAGTCAGAAAAATTTGAACCAATGAATAAACATACCTTTAAATAAATATGCATTTATTTAAATAAATAAACCTTTATCTAAATTACACAAATTATTATATTATTACACTTTGATTTACATAAACAATGCCAATCCATATCAATACCACTTCTTCATAACATAGGCCTATATATACTCACTGTTATATCCTTTTTTTTTTTTCTTAAAAGCGAGTTTTTATGCTTTTCAACTGAAAAACCCCCACTCCCAAAAAAGCAAGTGTATAGGTATATACCTCAGGACCTAGATCAATCTTCAGCAAACTAGGGTACGTATCCAAAAATGTGACACCTAGAAATCACAGATGGTGCTAATGTATCCCTCTATTGATCTTACAGTCGAATCATCTAAGTATTAGAAACAAATAGAAATAAATTGGACACCATATTATATTTTATTGTCTCTATATAACGTTTGCCAAGCTTTTCAAAGCAAAACCGAATGATTCTTCCTACTGATTTAACTATGCTTTTGAATGTTTAATGTGATAATATTATTATGTACATTAATATGTCAATTTTTGTTGACTTGAGAACTTATGATCTGATCTCAAGTGAACACTGTCGACATGAGAAAGACAATATTTTGAAAGATGACCTATCCCTTTTTTTTATCTCTCACATAGGCCTACTATTAAAATATTAAACACCAGAAGCCCAATAATATTCATTCATTTGTACAGAAGACAAACCTAAACATATCATGTGCCCTGATTTCTCAAAATATGAACTTCAAATTGTCAAATTAGGATAGCTTGAAAAACAATTTTTTTTTTGGTAGGAGCGGTTTGGCACATCGGTTGCGGTTCTGTTTCTCAACCTTGAGTTGGACAATCAATCCCTAACTGTGCATTTCATTGTGTCCTTAGGCAAGTCACTTTATACTGTGGTTATGTATCTCTCCACCCAGGAGTACAAGTGGGTACCTAGTGGGTTTAAACACAAAATGCGCTGATTACAGCTGCAACATTATGGAATTCTCCCCAGGGAACTGAGTATGTAATCTGTATGTGCTTGATCCAATGACAGGGGGTAATCAAGAATGTTAATCGCATAGAGGTCTCTACAATGTTCTATACAGTAAATCGACCATTATTGGTATTATTTTTAAGTACGAAAAGTTGTGTAGTCAATATGACATTTACGGGACAGAGTGTGTTGTGGCCATAAATGAAGAAAAGTGCATTATTGTCCTCTGTTTAAAAAACATAGATGAGAAACTTGTTTTTTATTTGCATTTGGCCTATGGGCATGTTTCTGCTGAATAACGCCAAAAACAAGTGTTTTTTTTAAATGATTAAATTCCTTCGGAACGCATTTCTAGTGAAAAGTGCAACTAATAAAAACACAGTAACACGAGCATTAGTAGGTGGGCGGAGCTTATAATGACGATCACCTACAGAAGCTAAAGTTGACCTTTACTTCCTGTGAGCTACAGCAAATGTTGGGAAAGTAGTAAACAACACACTGCGAAGGTAAGAAAAAATTATGTTAAGCCTAAAGGGAGGGCCTCTTCAAGTCAGCTGTACTACTGTAGTGCAGCTGTTAGAGCTACCCTCGTGAAATAAAGTTGAAATAAAAAAAAAAATAAAAGCATGTCATCCTGTTTTAATGTTTTTCTTCGCCCCGAATTTCTCGCGGACGAATGATCCAACCAACGAAGATGTCAATTTGGGTCACCAATGGGTCATGACTAACACTGTACTGTATTGCGTTGCAGCTGAAAAGTGTACAACATAACACATGTTTTCTGAACTCCAACCCTATAACGAATGCGTGTTAAAACAATTTTTTAGAACGCATTCCTAACCATGTTTTTGTTTTTTGGCCCGTTTCTGCTGGGGAAAAAAACATGTGTTGTTTTGCTCAGCAGAAAGATGCCCCATGATACATTGGTTTAAAATATATACATATTTTACTGATACTTAATAATAACAATCGCAAACACATGAACATGTCATATTTATGTAAACATATACAATTTGATTTGAAATAAAACATACTCATATGCATACAGTATAAACAAAAATACAATCAAATTATTTACTGAAATAAATACAATGGAAGACAATTGGACATTTATTTGAATTGTTCATCATTGACTACATATCAATTTACAGGTTCAAACCAACTGATCCCAGGAATCTGCATTCCATGTCAATATGTAATAAGCTTGACTACTATCGTGAACCTTGACCCCTGATGGGCATTCTGGGTACCCAGCAATCAAATTATGGAATCCCTTGCCAATGGTAACTAAGGATGTCTTGCTTGGCATTTCGAAGATGTCCATTTCTGATTGGTCGCAATCGTCTCTGACTTCCTCCTGTGTCTGCTGCTGAGTTGAACGAATGGGCAGGATAGATTTGATTGGTCCACGGTGACATTGCACAGTGGTGATCGGTGACAGACTGAGGGAGTCGGCGATTATGAGGCGCCCCCACACTGTACCGATGTACAAGTGTTCTTTGATAAGACACATTGATGACACCTGACATTGGTTTGCTGCAGAGTGAGAGGATGAAAGTAATTATAAAATAATTATGGACAACATAAATAAAAATAGTTACAATATAATCGATTGAGTGGAATTATGCACATGATGCACAATATTTTAAACTTGTCATCTGCACAGTCTCTCAAGTGTTATCTCAATCTCAATCATAGTTATTGTTATTACTTAATTACTTAAGAGAACCATGGAGGTACATTGTGGTTTGAATATTTGTACTGCAATATGTGTATTGGTGATATACAATTATTCAGTTGCATCTATAAGTGCAATTTCCACATAAAGTTTTCAAAAGTGTAAATTTCTGAATAGGACCCATGAAAGACATTTCCCTGCTGTGTTCATACCGAAAAGTAATTAAAATGTTAATTTACCACTAAGTCTTTTCATAGTTGCAGATGGATTGACACCAAGGTCACTGCATAATATCTCAGCAACGTCTAACTCCTCCTCCATCTTCCTAGTCTCCACAGTCCATCTGTAGACTGATGTACCTGATAAAAATAAAAATGTTCCGGGAGAAAATTGAAAATGAAATAGAAAAAACATGTAAAATATCAGTATTTGCAGGATGGGTTATTTTAAGCGAGATTTTGCTTGCTATATGGAGTGTGAGAGGCAGTCCAGATTTCCAAGGAACACCCAGGACTTGCTTCATCAACTTCATCTTTACTAACTTAAACCACCATCTACATTAAAATCATCTTCATAATAGCATCATCAGCTTCATTAACATAATCTTCATCAAAATCATCTTCAACAACATCATCATTTTCAAAATCATCATCTTTGTCAACATTATTTTCATTGACACCATCTTCACTGACATTATCTTCATGAACATCATCATCATCATCACCCCAATCACTAGCAGTATCAGCATCCCCACTGTCTGCTGCCACCATTATTGCCATCCTCATCATCTCTATATTCATAGTGCATGTACCAGATAGAAAGTTGTTAGATGAACGGCTACTACTATTATTAATAGCATTATTAAGACACCCACAGTTAAGAAGACTGCAACAGAAATTGCAAGACTCTGTATACAGTAATACAATTTTTGAATAACAGGTGAACATACTGTGTACATATAAAGGTTAAAGGTTATTCATTTATATTATATACAAACCTGGGTAAACATATGTCCAAACATAGTACAAGCCGAGCCTCTCTGCCATCTGTATGTCATAGGACACCATGATATCCACGCTGGATACCTCCAATGGTTCCTCAAAGTGTTTCACAGTTTCAACATCCATGCACAAATCAAAATCACCAACATTCAGGATACTTATATTACCACCAGGATTACCACACCACAATTCAATTATCCTGGAATTCATATTGAAATTTATTGATAACAGCATGACATATTAAAATTCATAGTTAAAATATACAATTATTACAAACATATATAAAAACAAATACAAGACTTTCTTCATACGTTGTTACACAAACTCGCCGCCCACAAATAACGATGTTTTCGTATAACAATAACATTTTATTTTTGGCCAATTGTTTTCCTTTATTTTCATTATGCCCACCGCTGCCTTAAAACCTTGAAAAAAAGATATGTATATTTCTTCCTAATTATATAAATTTAAAGCAGTTAACCATCCCATTACGACACTGTTTACATTCACCAATAAAATTTCATTTTTATGTTCTATGTCTAGGTGTTTTTGGCAAAGGTATTTGTTAACTAAGAAAATAAAATTTTATTTTTTTTCTGCACCCTCTTCTGACAATCTTTAAAAATGTAAGTTTGAAAAACAAGGTATATAAAAAAGTCTCGCCTAAGTGACAGTCCATATGAAATATATTAGGTAACTGAGTATACTAAGTCAGTTCTAAAATTATTTTAAACTGGTAAATATCTTTAATACTTACCTTTCACACTTGAATGAATTTGGTGCCAATGCTAGTGATGTAATCTTTTCTCCCACGTATCGATACGTGAACACTTCCTGTGGTTGTACATATCCATCTCCCTCGTCAAAGACGATCACGTAACCGGTATCTGTTGCAACAACCATCTGCTGTTGGAGATCAATGTGTACCATCGCCGTGGCAACATGATTGGTGTCATTGTTTGTGGTTGGAGGAATGCGGAATCGTGCAATCTCCTCATTATTAGAAACACTAAATAAGACAAAAGACAATTTTTAACATTGCTTATATTTTCCTCAATTGAAGCTGTAGGAGGACTGCAGTTATTTAGTGGTATTGTTCCCGAGACTTTGAAATGTCCTGCCATCAGTTGCTTATCTAGGAGGCTTGGCACAATAAGAAAGTGAGAGTATTAGCTGGGAAAATGAGGTAATATGAGGTAATTCTTAACGAGTGAATTTTTCTTTTGCTCATCATACTCATATATAGTATGTGCAAATCACATGTACCAGTACTAATCACATACAGATCGTGAGTACAGAGCGGTATTTGCACCTACTGTATATATATTTTCTAGAGAGATGACACATTAAATACTTATACATATATTTCTCATAATATAACTAATGTTGTCCAATGAAAATAAATGATGTTTCTTGAATTTGCTTGAACAGGATTTAAGTACAGTTCACATTCCAAATAAATATCACTTCTGGGACCAGGGTTTCCATGGACTTTGGCAGCTTGAATCTTTATTTAGAAAAATTTATATTATGAAGACAACAATTTCATCCAAGGCCACAGAAAAGAGGTCTTTAATTACAGGGAGAACTGCAAGTTTAAATCTATTTATTTTTCATATTTACCTATACACAGCCAGTAGTCCTATAGACAAGCTAAGCCAAACAGTGTAGCTGTCTGCAGAGAAACACATGCACACTATTGATGCTTTGCTAGCCATTACATTCAGATTTTCTTCTTGGATACATTTCTCAGAGTAGGTGAGGATCTGTACATTGGCGTTAGAATGGCTGATCCAGATGTCAGTGTCAACAACATTTAGCAACCCAGCCTCACCTATAAAGAAAATGTTTCGTACATTAGCAAATAGTGGCATCAAAACACTTATTAACCATGCCTTATACTTAAACATAAGGTGTCATGTACTAAGATTTAGTAAATATCAGTGTCAATGTTTAGCCACCCTGTTCACCTATGCTGTTGAAGTTATTATTCACAAATATTGATGTCAACTATGTTCAGCCCCCCCGCCTCACCTATGCAGAAGATATTATGTATATATTAGTAAATATTGGGGTTAAGAATGTTTAGCAATCCTGCCTCACCTACAAGGGCAGATTTAGGCGAGCCGGTGCGGCGCCCCCCACCCCCCTCTTTTGGAAAGTTAAAAAAGAAAAATATATATATATATCTATATATATATATATAAATAATTGATAGCCTAAAACGCCTCAGGTTATTTTCAGGCATCTAGAAAAAAAATTTTTGCGGAGGCACACCCCAGGACCCCCTAGGGTAGTGTTGTCTTGATCCCTGCCCCCTTTGCAACTGGACAATGTACTTGCGATTTACCCTATTATTCCAACCAGATGAAACTATTTCAATAAATTTAAATAGTAAAATACTTATAACACTCACTTGCTGTGCTCATTTCGGATGATGAAGTAATGCTGCAAGCGGCAGCTACATCAATTTCTTCATCAAGTGACAATACCTCATGGAGATTGGCAAACTCTGGCATTGATGCTATCTGGTGTACCTCCTGCATGCTGGGACGGTCTCTAGGATCTTGAGCCCAACACCAGACCATCAAGTCCAAGATGTACACAGGATATGACTGTTCCTATAAAGATCAAGTGAAAAACAAAATTTGAATTCTTCTGCAAAATTTGAATCTAGCTGAGCGGTTGGCTGAGTGGTATTGTTCCTGCTTCTTGTGTTAAAGACCCCCATCTGGCCATCATTGGGTTTTAATTGAAGTCTGATGGTTTGGCTCCTAAATAACTCTCATATTGAGAGTTACTGTAGGTGGGTTTTGAACAATATTTGTAGCTGTAATATGTTTGTAGTTAAGTGGAGTGGAGCTGCACTGTGGCTGCTGTGGGTTTCCAGTCTAAATTTCCAATTTACAATTAGAATGAAGAAGGACAAATAAAGATTTATGATTATTATCAGGAATTCCTTCTGTATTACAGTACAGCACATTTCTCTATAAACACTTACCTTCCTGGTCAGGATTGGTCGTTCACCATCTTTAATTAGCTGTTTGATGACCTCCGACAAACGACCTCTATTCTTTCCGACTTGGCTCTCAAAAGGTCTTTGCATTGACATCAGTTCATACATAAACATACCAAAAGAAAAGCAATCCACCTGTAGTGGTAAAGCAATTTAATACAAAATAGTTTTTTTACGTCAAAATATTCTTTATTTTTAAAGGCCACCTATCTTGGGCCACACAACAACTTTTGCCTTCATATTTTAACATATGCCATACAAATCTAATGCAAGACTATTGTAACTTAAAAATAGGCAAAAATAAATAAATAGTTAATATAAAAGGAATTTAAAAACATTTCATATAGATTCTGCAATATATCGGGGACAGCAAAGGGTTAAAGAAATTAAAGGTGAACTTATGTATATATATACCTTCTCGGTATATGTTTCCTTTCCTTCATATTGGACAATCTCCGGTGCCATGTAACCTGGGGTTCCACCATATCCTTTGGTTCCTGAAGGCAATGTTGAGACACTGATGCCGTAGTCAGCAAGCTTTACTTGCACATACTCGCATGGCAGAATCAGGTGGGGTTCCGGAAGATTCCAGACCAATACGTTCTCTGCTTTCAGATCACGATAGATGATGCCCTTCTGGTGAAGGTAATCAACAGCTGAAGAGACCTTTAAAAGAAAATGTTAATAACAATTAGTAATAACTTGCAAGTCATCTAAATAGTATTTTAGTATAATAAAAATTGGTATCCTACAAGGTATTCCTTTTCAGATCTTTGATTATTATTCTCTCTTTCAAACTACGGGCCCCAATGTGCAGAGCTGGGCCCCACAAGCTTTCAACAGAATTGAAATTTGATTCGTCTGAAGCTAAGGCTTTTGATCTTACCTGGACAATGATTTGTTGGATGACTGGAGAAGTCAAACGAGCACCAACTCTTTTGTAGTCTTCCAACCGGGCATCCAGGGCACCATGTGGTGCTAGCTCTAGGATAAGACACATTGGTTGACGACAAAAGCCCAGCAGAGGGACAATATGCGAATGATCCAACGTCATAATAATAGAGAGTTCTTTACGCGCTGTGTGGTATGCTTCGCACGAGTTGCGTAGAGGATCTCGATGCCATTTGGAGTCGTTCATCTCGTAGCGCTGCTTAATGGTATTGCTTGCTCCTTGGCCTGGAGGGTAGGGCTGAAGCATCTTAATGGCAACAGGTATTTCGCTCATCTGATCTTCTTGGACCATGTGACCTTTGTAGACAAATCCAAAGCTACCAATGCCAAGAAGCTTTGCAACCTCAAGATTCGATTTGTCTATCAGTTTGCCTGGACCTAAATCGTGGTACACCTAGTGGGAAAAAAAAATTGAAATTAATAAATAATAAATAAAAAGCACTTTTTGAAAAAAATTTTTTTTATATCAACACAATAACAAAAAAAGTGTTTGTTTAAAAATGCTGTTGAAGTAGTTTTACTTAAACAAGACTTACCACATCGGGAGCAATATTTTTCAGAAGGATTCTGCCATGATTAGGACACTTGACTTCTTCATACTTCATCCCTCTTAGTACAAGTTCCTCAAATAAGAATCCATAAACCTTGTATGGCCCCTCTGTATCACTGAAAGATCCGAGTCTGAAACATGCAGAAAACTCAAGGGACCTCCTTTCTTTATCTGGTGTGAGAGATTTTGGTGTGTGGCTTGGTGTTGTTTTTGGTGAGAAATTTTTTATGAATTTGTCTTTGGATGCAGATCGTGTTTCAGCAATGGATCTCTGATTGTTTTCATCAATAGCTACTTGAATAGCTTGCTCTGGAAGTAGTAAACCTCCAACTTTTGCTCTCTTAGTTGAGGATCTTGATTTCTCAATTGTTGGGTTTTGTACAACAACTTCAGGTGTGCCTCCCGGAAGCTCTGGTGCATCAATGCCACTGTCATCATTGTCAGTGTTACTAGAGTCTTTACTTGTTTTCTTTTTACCATTTTCATTTTGAGTTCTCTTAAGTGAATGATCATAGTTTGACAATGGAAGTTGAAGCTTTCCATTAATTGGGGAACTAATTGTCCAAATGGTATTTTCCTTCTTTCCTTTGTATAGCCTTGGACAGTGTTGTCGTAGCATACTTTGGATTTCTGTTTTTGGAGTTCTTCTCACAGGCTTTGGACTGACACCCTCCTCATGGAGAGCTTGTTGGATGTCATCAGGATTCCAGTCTACCACTTCCCAATCTGTCTCATCTACATCTTCCACAATGGTTTTGTTGTAATCAATCCAACAGCGAATACAAGGTACTATACGTGTTATCAACAATTCTCCTTCAAATGTTTGTCCAAGAGGCTCGTAGAGCGTTGGATAAAAATTTTCAAGGAGAACATCCAGAAGATCAACAATGGCAGCAAGAAGTCTTGATGCAATTTCTAATGATGGAAGAACTTCAATATCTGAATCAGTAGACAGAGAGCCACATATAGAAGACCCCGAGCTTGATGCAGCTGAGGAAGGTGTTGTTGTTGATAGTTGTTCCTTCTGAACAGAAAGGATCTGGTTTGGAATCAATATTTCTAACTGTCCCAGTCTTGAAGTTGAAACTGTTCTATCCTGACCATCAATTGTACTCACAAGAACCTGAACAGTATCAGGTCTTCTTTCTTTCTTAAATACACAACCCAACAATGATTCCTTATTGATCTCTTTCACATGGAATAACGGCACACCATGTAAAGACAATTCTATGCCAGTCTGCCAACACATCCACATTAATCCTGAAGACCACTTTTGGTGAATATCTTCACCAAATGATTCCTCAGCATTTTTTGGCAATGTGTAAAGAGTTTCAATGATACTGTTTAGGATCTGATCTGAAAGAAACCTGCTGATGACCCGTGACCAAAATCCACTTGGAATGTACTGAAGAAAGAAAAGCCGGCGAATGACTGCATAAGGATTCTCTCCAGCAGTGAGGCTAAAGCCCGGACCTTCTGTTTCTGGAATTGGTTGAGTGGAAAAAACAGCTTGATACTGGTCTGCAGCATTTTCATCTGTCCTGCGAACCAATATTGGGCTTGTTGAACGAGGGCGCTTATTTTGTGGAAAGAGTGTCTTGAAGCCATTTCTTTTGATGCCATCTTCTGGAGCAGCTGGAGAACTAAATCTTGCAGAGACTTCATGTGCAATTGCAAGAATGGAGGATGTTGTTGTCTGGAAAAATGTCTGATCTCTTTCAGGTGGCACTGGTTTTGGACTCGGCAAGTGCAGAGACTTTATTCCAACTCTTGCAGTTTCAATTTGTGATTGAAGTGGAAGAAACTAAAGAAAATAATTCAATCAAAAATGGATTAAAATTTAAATAGTGAAAAATATTTAAGACAAGGAAGAAATATTATAAAATCTCAAAATTAATTATGATATATATTAATTCAATCATTTATTCATTTTTCAATTCATCCATTCATTCATCAATAGATCCATCCTTACTCATTAATTCAATTAATGCAATTACAGTAAACTATTATGAAATATATACTAATTGTCATAAATTTGAAATATGTTACCTCTTGTGTGATATTAATATTCTCTCTGTTGACTGGTATACAGATCATCTCGCCCTCTTGGGGCAGTAGTGATGGTATGAGGAGGTGTTCACTATCAAATGCAACAGCAACTTCAAACTTATTCAGTAAACTCAGGATGTAATGTTTGACGCCAGATGACTGAAATTTCATCTTTAGATCATCTATTTTCATCACACCTGTAAATAATTATTTGTATTGGATCGTTATAAAAGTGGTGATGCCTTGGGGTGTTTAGGAGGGCACGAGACTCCTGGTGGGGAAAGAAGCAGCCAATCATTTTTCTGGGAGCAATGTTATGAAAAAGCATTTTGACAGTATGAAAGTGCCATTTCTGGGCAACAAGATGTGCCTATCTTAAAATTTGCTCCAACCATGGTGGGTTGAGTTGGGTGTGGATTATCTGTTGGGGACTTTTAGACCTTTCGTAGGAGAATATCAAATATTGTTTTCTTTTTCATTAAAAACATTTAAATTTCAACAAATCAGAAGCAAAAATTACATTTAAAAAAATTTAATTTATCTGTAAAATCGGTATCGCATGCTAAATAATTAAAACAAATGCAAAACTGTACCACTTTTGACACAGGGGTTGATTTCTGGAATAGTTACAACCTTGGCCAGAGTGTCACAGAGCCACTGAGGGTCAAGAAAATAATAATCAGCAAGCATAGCATCTTCATAATGTAGCAGAATACCTGAAAGAAGCCCAGAAAATAAACAATGCATTAATAAATAATTTTAATTATTAAAAGACATGGTAATACAAATTAAGTTAAAAAGACAATATAATAATATCAAGATCAATGTTGTAAATGTAAGTAAAGTAGGTTATAGCAGGGAACAGTTATAGGAAGTTATGTCAGTCACCTGATTAAAGCCAGTATCATAGGAAGCTATAACTACTGTAGTTAGTTTTATATAATTAAAAGAAATATAACTATATACTGTAATAATATAATAAATAAATAAATAATGTCAAGGTCAGCTGTGTAATATGTAAAATTTAGTAAAGTAGTTTATGTCAGTCCCCAGGTTCTGTTTATAAGTCCACAGACAGTAAATAAACAGTAAAGTTCAATTGCTATAGGCTAAACAAAATGTTTCAGGATAAACAAATAAAAAAGTTCAGGATAATAGAAAGGCATAAGCAAGTAAAAATATAATTAAAAAAATAAACAAGATTTAATTCAAAAAAGTTTATTATACTTAAAATACAGATATAAAACCCTTCTCAAAAACTTCCCCTATTTTCTGACTAATGGACTATCCAGTTACTGGCAAAACTTTAAGGGAGTATAAACTTAAGGCTCTTAATCATAATAAACCATGGAGTGAGTCACTGTGCAGCACAACTTGCAACGTTACACTTATGTCTCTAGGACAGGACATGAGTCAGAGAGAGTGAGATACCGTTGTTATGCAGGAAACGTGTCGCTTGCATTAGTTCTTCTTTATCATGGAAAGACACTTGCGATTGCATCTGCATTACATGCGTCACTTCGGTTCTAAAAAACACGAAAAATAGCAAATTGCAAATTGTAAGTTCGCCAAAATTCACAGAGTTGTAGATGATCAAAAAAGGAAAACTGTCAGATGTTCTAAATACAAGAATATTATTGATAAGAAAACATAGTTTATAGCCAAAAGCCAATATACAGTATTAAATTTAAATGTCCAAATTTCTTTTCCCACAGACGATACATCATCAAATAGCTACCTGTATTCTGTAGTTGTTAGCACTGGTTCCTTTTTCTCATCCCGTCTTTCTGCCGCTAGGTATGCAATGGCTTTTTCCAGAGCAAGGTATGATGTTGGTACCGGATGTTTCAGAAGTGGTTCACGATCACGTTTGTCACGACCTTCTAAGAAAGAAACAACGTTATTCATTTGGAATTTGTGATATGATTCTATTGTAACAAATCATGTCCTGTTTATTCTAAGATTCTAATAATGAGAGGAATGAAACAGATTTAATAATTCACTTTTGTTGAATTAGGCAGTTGGCGATTCGGGCCAACATTGGAAACAGTACATGGACACCAGGAAAAAACATTATAACCAGAGATTAAGGCTCCAGCCCACTTGCAGGACCCATTTTTCCTAAAATTTTTAATTTACTAAAATAGACATTCCATCAAATCAAACCTCCAGTTTAGCTTTTGACATGGAGATTTTTGGTGGATCAAGTACCAAGTAACACTGCTTTTAAATACATGGTAAGATGATAAGATTAATGAGAGAATAGTGAGTTCAAAGTTCAAGTTACTTCTGAAAGATACTTAGGTGTAAATTTTGGTCCCCCACCACCGAGGCAGGGGCGGATCCAGAATTTTTTTTAAACGGGAGGGGGGGAGCGCACAACTTATTCAGAATAGATAGGTGAGAGCACTAATTTCAAAATATGCTTTGAAATTTTGAAATTTAGTGGCAAAACAAGGAGGGGTGGGGGGCACATGCCCCCTACTAGAATAATTTCCAAACAATCAGATGCAGACTACAATGACCTCATCCATCATGTGACAGTATTAAAGTCAAAATGACCAGTCATACAAGTGCACAATGGTACAGTAGTTGTTGACAGCTTAATGCTCGTTATCTAAACTAAGACTGCCACCAATGTTATCGTTAGCTTACACGCTGGATCATTACTCACCCGTAATGGAAAATGCTGTGTCATAGATCGTGTCTCGGAGCTTGGTCACACTGCTGCCTCTGACACAGTTAACGGGCACGAAGGCTCGGACGTCTGGCAGCCCGAGGTCTTGAGGGTGAGCAATGTCAATGAACCGCTCATTGACCTTGCGCGTGAGGTCCATGAGATAATCCCGTGAGTAGCGTGGGCCAGAACGCAAGACATCAAGATGTGTTCCAACTATGATCACAGGTGAATTTGGAGCACGCGCCTGGATAAATATAAAAGTGCAATATATATGTGAAAATAAGAATAACATACAGTAGTCAGATTGTGGTCATTATTTTTATTACAATTATTTATCATTATTATCATCAATATCATCATTAAGATTTTCATAATCATAATTGTTAGTATTATTATCATCAACATAGTTTATTGAAAATGACAAATATTATATTATAATGATTAAAATACATAGAGAATTAGCATTAACCATACAAAAAATGACAAAAATAATTCTACTACAAACAAGGCATAACAGTGACACATTTATTACTCTCATTATTTTTATCATAATAGTGTTGGCCAAGGTCGAGGACAATCATGGACAATGAACGAAATGCTTTAGGCCAGGCACACATTGCGGCAGCAGATGGTAGGCCTCGAATCCAATCCAATCCAATCTTCCGACTTATAAGTCACATTATACAAAGTCTCAATGCACCAATTCGAGGGAGTGCTCATTCTCCTACTCTCTGTGTGAGGGCTTGATTTTAAAAAAATTAAAAACAAATGTTCATAACTAGCATAGATGTAGACGTACTTGGCTCCATAGTAATTCGTCCATATATTGAATCTAAAGAAGTACTTGGCTCCACACAAAAGTTAAAATAAATGGTTTCTATTTTTGGAATGAAGTGATCATGGTTCCTGGAAAAGTGCTTTTGTATTATTAGATTTGGTTTGGACCCTGACCTCAAGATACATACATATATATAGTAATATATACAGTAAAGAACCGACTTCTAAAAATTTATGACAGCATTCTTACTGAAATCCAAGACGGAAACATGGTGTACTGATAATGTGTGATTTGTCTGCAACCTTTGACATTGTTGACCAACGCATTCACCTCAAAAGATTATCTAATGGTTGCATTACGGGCAAGTCTGAGTTTGACGAAGTTTAGTGCTCTTTAGGGGTCATCTGGCTGTCACTCTTGTTGATGTTTGACCTTTGACCCATGTCATACATCAGGAGAGAATGTCATTCATTCAATTTCCTGAAAATCGATTCTCAATTCTTAACATTTCCATCATTGGTATTCCATAAAAATGTGCATTGTTGGAGTTGTGTTTCTGAAGATGTGCCTTCGGTGGAAATATCTACACTATGTGTTACTCCATCTGAATCTTAGAAATATTAGACAAACCAGAAAAGACCTACAGAATTTTTCAAGAACATTGACTTCACTTGTCAAAACATTAAAATATTGATAACATCCTTTAAACCAAGTGGTCATCTTAGATCCATCATAATCCAATCTCTCTCTTTGCATTAGTCTTAATTGGCATCTTAAATAGAATAAAATTATTATCTTTCCAAGCTGCATCCCAATTCCTCTAGAATAATTTTTCTTCTTCCTATTAAATTCAGTCCTGCTTTTACCACCCTCAAAAATAGGCTTTAGACTTGCTTTTCTCCTTCATTTTTCATCTTGTGTTTGCCTGTCTTCTTTACTTTCATAATTTTGGTTAATTTGATTTGATGCACTTTTAGTGATTTTTTAAGTCATAGATGAATGCGCATTACAGAGCAGAACATTTTTATAGAACTTGGCACAATACAAATTACTAAAAACAGGTGGTTTCAATTCTAGAAAGATCAAAGAAAACATTTTTTATTTGAAATATAAACTGCATTCGACTGACATTTACAGCCAATAAAACTGAAGACTGAAGACAATTTAGCCTTCAAAATAATTAAATCAAGTGATTAAATCAAGAAAAACCTATATGGCATCTACATTTATCGAAAGTGACAATGATATGCCTGAGGTAATTTCAGATTTAATATGATAAAGGCCTAAGAAAATCAGTTTCCTTCGCATGGTACCGTAGTGATTTCCAATTTAAAAAAAAGTGAATTATGATAGTCTCTGAAAGGCTTATAATGCAGTGGGTTATTAGGTAGGTCTAACCTCCTGGTAGACATTTGTTTAATAAATTACAATGCATTGTAAATATTATTATGAAATATTAGAGCATTGCCTTCTTTTTTTTTAGTTCTTTTATAAGTCAATCACCTTGTTACCTCATAACCACATGCCTTTCTATGCCTTGCCTAGGAAGTCTAGGCTTCATTTGTGTTAATCAGCCCAGTGAAGTGAGTTTTGTTAGCTTCGAAGTGTGCAATCAGAGCTTGGCCTATATTCATCACAATGTAAAACCACCTCAACTTTGAGCCTCTTGCACACAAGGTGCAAAAAATAGGAGGCATTAAATCCAATTAGTGCCTGCTCGGATATAGGAGAATTATGTGCAATTGAAAACGTCACTACTGGCTTATAATTATTATTACCTCACCTGTATATTGACCAGCCACTGTTGCAGCTCATTAATTCCTTTCTCTCCGTCTGTTAGCTTCCAGAGGACCAAGTAAAGGGAACGCTTCGTTAGGAAATATTGATGAGTGGCGTAAAACTCTTGCTATTTGAGAAAATGAATAAATGAAACTATTATTTGAAATCAAATATAACTAAATCATGGAATCAGGTGGGAATTGCAATTACAATTAAATGCAATATAAATTAACAATAAAAAAATTAATTTTATTTGATACATAATAGTGCACTACACATCATGATTAAACATCTCATAGCATTTAATACTATCAAACCTGGTCCTTTTTCTTGCATATGATATTATTACTGTTATTGTTATTCAGCAAATGTACATATCTAGATATACAGTTTTGGCTATGTTCTCACACGGCTGCTAATGGTTAGCAGGATCCGGATTCTGCTAACTGTTAGCTGCCATGCGTCCATACGAGAAAATCCAGATCTGGATATCACTGGCCAATAAGAAACTGGAAATTGTAAACGCGTACGTGTGATTGATTGATGATAAAACGCGCTCAACTTGCTAACCGATAGCGCTTGCTAACCGTTAGCAGTATCCAGATACTTCTCACGCTAACGGTTAGCTCCCGATCCGGACACTAGGGCTCTTGTGAGAACCAGGCTATTGTGAATTGGCAGGAGATGGGTTATTTTCTGGGAGATTCTTCTTGCTTGTGGGGGTACGGGAGGCCTTCTGAATTTCAGGGAGGCTCCTGTGACTTAAGGGAGACTTGGACTTTGTAAACTATGTAATGTTGAGATGTTTGTTCACAAAGCACTTTATTAACTTTCACATATTAATTGCTGTGTTGTGTCAATTCAATAAAATTAATAAATATATTGTATGTGCAGCTTGTCATATGCAAGAAGAATATATTAAATTATTAATGTTGATTATATGTAGTGCTACTACATAATACTGTACCATCATTATTCTGTACACTTATAATTGCTATTTCTAACACTACCAACCACTAGAGACGTATGCCATAATGCGCTACAAGTGCACAACCATTGACCACTACCACTATCACTATCAGTGTTATCAACTCTGATAATGTTAGTATCGTTGCATTTTTTGACTGAACTACATATAAACATTTGATTGTTTATTTACCTGTCCACCAAAGTCCCATGTACTGAAAGTAACTTTGCCATATTTGGACTTTTTCTTGCAGTACGTCCATTCAGAAACGTCAACACCAACAGTCGAGAGGTGGTTACCTTTAAGAGTCTTGCCACCAATGTGAGTGTTTCCCTGCCTTTCAGCAAAACTCTTAACAGTACAGAAAAACAATTACTAACAATAAAAATTAATTAAAACTCAAAAAAGGATTAAAGATTCAAGTAATCTATAGAAATACAATTATTTGTTATAAACTACTTAACTATTTTAATTGCTAATTTTTGTATATTTAAGTCACTGGCGGGCAAAGAATGGCCAGCGTGCCACATGTGGCCCAACGACAATTTAACGACACTGTAGACTTAAGCTTTAATAAATACAAGTGATAGAGTGAATGAGCCACCTATTGCTTTAGTTGAATGTTTAGGGGTCATTCAAGATTTTAACTTAAATTTTTAAATGATTGATTGATACTGACACCGGAGGAAATAAATTTCGACCTTCAGTAAATACAAGTAATACAAGCAAATCATTGTTTAATTGAATGTTTTGGATTTTCCTGCTTTTAACACAGAAAGTATATTTTTAAATGTTTAATTGATAATGACATGTGAGGAAATAAATCTTGAAGTACAGTCAAGCCTGCCTCATACAAATTGATTCAGTAAAGTCTATCCACCATTTAGCAGCTTATTAAGGCTGAGCTGTTCAAAAATAATTAAACATGACAGAGCTTTAGATAACTTGCTCTATTGAAAAGTAAGCACTGAAATAATAGAGGTTTCGCACGTATGCATACATTTAGCTATCCGTAACAGTTTGTATAGCCATGCTGTGCTTTTTGCAATGACAGCGACATTTAAGCATTGGGCCTTCAGACCTAGACCAGGGCCAGGCATAGGCTATTCCGTTTCTTCTCTCATCATGCTTTTCAAATTCAAATTTTAATTGGCACGGCCTAAATATTTGGTATGTAAGGTTTTGGAAATTGCAAGTGGTAGCCAAAATAATACCCCTTCCCTTGTTGCCTGGAAGAGTTATTTTGTGACTCAAAAATGCCTGGCTACTATATAAGCTAGGCCTAGGGAGGCCCTTACCCTACAGGAAATGCCAACACTACCAAGCACCAACATTTTTTTAATACCTCAAAATGAGACGCATCCTATCATAACTTGCTGTCACAAAAATGGCACGTACGTTAAAGATATATTTATTTTTTAAACTTACTGTAAAATGTAAAAATAAAAACGAAATGGTACTAGAAATCCGAAATTTTCCTATGCATGTTTTTCATGTACAGTACATGTAGTGAGCGAGATATGTGTGCCGTTCACACGATTAGCAGATAACATAATGATAACGTATATGTCCACACGGTTAGCGGATAACATAATGATGACGTATACGTCACACTAACCGTATGCGTTCGCATGCGAAACCTCTCTAAAGTCCACATGAGCAAAGCTTCCATGAAGGCTGGTAGCTAAGCTGAACCTACTGCAGCAGGAATTAGAGATATAAAAGTACTACGTCACATAATTACCTCGGGTGATTGGTTGCCATATGGGCCACTGCCCTCTCTCCGCAGCTCATTCAGGAGAGTGGTTTTGCCAATGCATGCTTTCCCAACAAACATTAACTTCATCCTGGCATAGGGTTTAGCACTATGAAGAAAACAAATAAAGAAACTTGTAGTTATACATATATCATCATCTATAATGCAAGATACCAACAAAACACAAGCTGTCTCTATAGTCTAGTCTATAAAAAAAAGTAGTAATTTATTGAAATAACTACTGTATAATGAAAATGGTGATTATAATGATCAATCAATGAACAAGCATTTGTAAAGGGCCAATATCCACGGCAGAATGCAATGTTCAGGGGCGATGACAACTCAATAAAAGTGCACATTAACTTATGATAATGAGAATGATTATGATAATAATAATCATGATAAACAATAATAAAAAAAAAATAGAAAAGGAGCAGATGGATATCTAAAGAACACACTTCAAACTAAAAAGTATCCTCTAGTCTTTGTACTTACTCATCAAGAATACATCTCAAATAACCTAAGACATCCTTCACAAGAAGGTTTGATGTCATACTCGACAATGGCTCTGTTAAGCTACAACCATCAACCTTCAGGTCATAGAGGTTCTGCAGGCGTCCCATCTCTGGTGGTAGCGTTGTAACCAATTCATTTCCATCGATCCTCAGGTTTGACAACTTGGTCAGGTACTGGATGTCTTTGGGAACCTCAGTCAGGTTGTTGTTAGACACTGCGAGAAATGCCAGGTCAGGGAATAGCAGTGTGATGTCATCACTTGGAGATGGATGATTTGTCACAATCTTTGGAACTTCTTTTTGTAGCTCTGTTTTGTCCTCCACAGGAAAGCAAAGAGAAACACACTAGAGAAGTATAACTTCTCTATTAAAGACTATACATAATTTAAATGATTAAATTATTATTTTAAAAACAGCCTTTTTTTTTTACTACATAATTGACCCGTAGCATTTTCATTAAGAAAAGTAAATATAAACTTTATTGATGATATCATCATCATCACCACGACTATTACCATCACCATCATCAACAACAAAATTGTTGTTGTCTCCATCACCATCATTGTTACCACCATTACCATCATCATTATCCTTTTGGTTTTCAATGTCGTCCTTATTACCCCAATCACAGTGTTTATCATCATCAGCCTTCTGATCACCATCAAGATCATGATCATCATTAACAAATAATTGGTCAAAAGAACCCATGAGGTAACTAATCATTCAGCTGCCGACATTATCTTAATTTTTCATAGCCCACAGATATACCTTTGGAAAGTACATTAATGCAAATACACTGTTAAGATATTTTTATAAATAACATTAATCAAACTTACTGACTGATCATGTTCTCCAGAATCCTCAAGTTCTTTGTCTTCAGAAAAATTAATTTCCTCTGTCCTTGACACCACTTGCAATTGCTTAATATTATTATTCGTGAGATCCAGCGTTCTTAAATTTGCAAGAACACGGTGCCTTCGATGCTTGCAGTATTGCAGAGAAACAGCTGGTGGTGACTGCAATGGTGATGAGATGCTTTGTCCATCTTTGCTGTCCCTTCTAGAGTCTCCCATACCTCCTGGTGCCATCAAATGCACATTCTGTTGTGACTGGATAGCTGGGCTACAGCAAGGTTCAATGCCAAGCAAGTCAGAGATCTTCTTTTCATTGTCTACGGAAGGATTAACATGTAACATTTTCAATATAGAGTCTTTACGGGAGAGAGAACCAGCACGGCGACATGTCACAGTCATTGATGTTATCAAGTTGTTGGAGACTTCTAAATCAACAAGACCAGCTGGGAACTTATTAATTGGACCAAAATCTGTTATTTTGTTTTCAGATAAAATAAGTTTTGACAATTTTGGAGCAAGACAGGGCAGTCCTGTAGGTATTTTGGTAAGTTGGTTTTTCGAAAGGTTTAAAACTTCCAAACAATTGACTTCATCAGCACTGATTGGTTCTTCATCAACCTCATCATATCCTAGACTACTAGTGCTCCATAACTGATGTCTTCTGACATTTAAAAGAGTATGTTTCCTCTTTGGTTTCTCATTTCCAAACACTTCAGAGTTGCTGGATGTCGTTGACTGTTCAGATGTCTCGGTAAGTGTCCTCCCTTTTTTAGCAGTCCGGCTACTTGATTCTGAATAATTATGAATTGGTCTAAATTTGTCACCTTCTTCCATTCCAGAGTCACCATCTTCATCACGCTCTTTCTTGAAGTCATTCATATCTAATGTGAACTCATTTGACTGCTTTTTATCCTTGTGACTAGCTGTAGAAGAGTGAAATGTCTGAGAGTCATCTAAACCATCAAGGATATTGCTTGGCAATTCCTCTAATTTGTTCTTAGAGAGATCTAAGTTCTTCAGCTTTGATGCCATCCACATATCGAATGGAAGTTGTTTTAACTTGTTCCCATGTACGTTCAGAGTCTCTAATGAAGGTAGGTGGAACATCACTGCTGGAAGCTTCTCTAACCAGTTGTTGTTGAGATCAATTTGAGTTAACATTGGGCAGTTCCATATAACTTCTTGCACTTCGGGTGGATTCTTTACAGCGGTACTTAGAATAGAAGCAACAGTATGTCTTTTATCAGACTTCTCCACCTTGACAGTCTCCTTCTTGGACTTTCCTATTGGGAGTTTACTGATCTTATTCTTGGCAGCATTCAGAACATGCAGTGATGGCAATTGGAATATAACTAGTGGAAGTTCTGATAGGCTATTGTCTGATATATCAATTCTTGTGATGGCTGACAGAGCGGGATGCTGGATACCTGGAGATACCTCATAGTTTTGCAAGGTTATATTGTATCTTAAACTAGCCTCTACTAACCAGTCAGTCTCAATTAGTATTAATTCCATGTCATGCCAATCAATTGCGACAGGTACATCAAAAGATGCAGAGTTACTCACTAATCGTTTAGGTATAGCAACTGTACGCCTACGATCCCTGCTAATAGAACGACCTCCATCTTTAAGCTGCTGAGCCATCTTTGAATAGTGAGGAGCGTGATTGCTAGACTCTTTAACAGACTTTCCTGACCTCTTTTCAAGTGGTTCAGTTCCAAGTTGATCTACAGTAACTGCACAAGAAGCTGCTTTGAATTCTGCTAAGCAATCAGAGTTAACGGTAAACTCAGAGTCTGGATGTACCCCAGAATGTCCCAGCATGACACGGACAATATCGTCTCGTCGGCTAAGCAGAGCAGACAGCAATGCTTTACCTTCGGTGTCCTTGGCACCGTGTTTGAGCAGAAGTGTTATGATTTCCAATTTATAATCAAAGGCACTGCAGGCCTCAAACAGTAAGGATGAGTTTTCTTTTGTGAAGAACACCTTCTCTGAAAACTTTGGTGATATCCTTTTACTTTCGGTATTGTCAAACAAGCAAAATAGAGATTGAATCGGTGCATTCACATCTGCTCCGTACTTTAAGAGTAGCGACGTAATCTCAACATTCCATGACAGAACAGCTGCATGCAGAGGTGTCTGCCCGACAACTGTGTATGTATTAACATCTACAAATGGCTTTTTTCGTGTAGAGTTTGTGAAAGGCATAGAATGGTGCTTGCGACGGTTTGGTTGAAATTCAAGTAGAGTCTTTACGACCTCAACATGGCCGGCAGCACTGGCAAGATATAGGCTTGTCTGTCCATTTATATTGCACAGGTTTATGTGAAAAGGCAATCCTCCTTTGTAAGCTTTTAGATTACTAGACGTCTTCTGATGTAGCTTTGTTTTACCCTACAACAAAATCAGAATCATTTTAGCATAAACTCTCTTTTCGAACAATAAATGCAGATTCAACACTAAATCATGTCAACATGTGGGAAATAAAATAGAGCATTTTAAATAATTAAATAATTTATTTATTGACAAGTTCAACAAGTGTGAAGTCTAAATCAGTTCAAGCACTACTTTCCAAAGGGGTCCTTGACACTAAGCAATTTACAAATGAAATACAAAATTAGTCATAAATAAAATATACACTCAATAAAACAAAGGATTAGTTTAACAAATGTTTGTTCAGATGACAAACACACTTGGTAAAGCATAATTGTTTCACAGGAAACAATACCAGATCACAGATCACTTTTGTTGTAAAATGTAGAACAGAAGACAATTAATATCTAACACATTATGTAAATTAATTCAATCTTAAGTAATCTATTAAATGCACTCAAAATTGGGTCAAAAGCATCAGTTGCTTATTTATTGAGTAATTACAGTGCATTAGTATTTTCTGTATGTATTGATTTAGTACATTTACTGTATGTAATGAGTTTATCTGGGCCAGTTAACTGACTGATAAGGTAATCCTAGATTTTAAACCATTGGAAGTTTATATGTTTTGTATGGGCTCTATATAATGTAAAGAATTTAAAATATAAAATTGGGTTACTACCCACAAAAAAGAGAAAAAGTGATACTGGTAAAATATTATAATAAATGAATGAATAAATTTCAGAGAATGCTGTAGAGTTTTAAAATAAATATTTTATTTCCATGCTCACAAACCAGATAAGTGTCTTATATAAAACAACCATAATAAAAACCAATTATTTTTCTTTAAAGATATACCAGGTGTGGCATGTATATATGAATATCATTCAATAGTTATACATTAAAAATGAGTTGACAATCCCGTCTCTTGGCCTCTGTTTCATGAACCTTTGCTCAGCGTGGTGAATTGCACGGCAAATTAAAATAATTTCCTCTGGACGTTCAGATTGAGTAATGCAAATATGACTCAATGCTGTCCTATAATCACGAATGATACCCAGAATGTTTGCTTTGATGCTGCAGCACTGCTCACAGAAAGGCCAGCATAACATGTATATTTATGCAAAGGTAAAAGATATTAAGTGAAAGCATATTATTAGAACAGATTGGGCAAAATCTAGTTTTTATGTTATAGAATTGTAAAATAATTTAGAAAATTACTGTGATTGCATAATATGAAATACCTTGAGAAAAAGGTGTTAATCATGTTAATCATGGTAAATTCTTTAGTTTGCGAGTTTGGATTAATTTACATTTAATCGGAGGGATTTCTGCCTAAATCATCAAAACACTAAAAAACTTTTAATTACATGGCATACTATAATATATATTTAAATTAACGCCTACATCAGAAATGAAGAAAATTTGTTAATACACTGAGCCACTTACGGGAAGGAATGATGCTTGATAAACTAAATCTGCTTAGGGGCTAAGGGCATGGAGTTGTTTTTTAGTTATAAAAAATACAGGATTTAAACCCACCCTACAGGCAAGCATCTTAACCACCAATTAAACAACACCACAATAAATTAGGGTGTTTTAATCACCCTGTATGAATTCTCTCATCACATTCCTAAACTTTGGCTCACCACCATGCAATGGGCAGCAAATTGGAGACAAACTATGTAAACATTAAGAAGGCAAAAGATTTCATGAATATAGTAGACCCCTTCACCTGATCAAAGTTACCCCTTCACCAAATACAATCATTTCATTTGCATAATTCATGACATTGCTTTTGTCTGTACAGTTTTAGTCATTTGCTAAGGAAATAACTTTGGCAAATAACATAGCCCAGGGGTAATTCAACATTGAAAATTCTTTCACCTTATTAATACATCACAGAAAAACATCTTTGTCTTGATTTCAGGAAATTATGATGAAACTTTGATATTCATATTCATAAAGCAGGTTATATCACAAGTGAAGTGGAATTAATATGTCTTTAGGGTCACCGATAAAAAAAAAAACATTTTATGAGCATGACAAACAGCACTAACACCGTTAAGATTACATTAGAATTATAGTGTCAAGGAATTTGGAAGTACTACTCCTCCATTGGACAGATGTATAAGCTCTATCGAATCTACATATTTGATTTGTCCTTATATGGGCATGAGATGACATCATCATTGCAACACTGTATATATATAAATGTGATATGACATTGCGATCATCATGCCCATAAATGGGCAGATCACAAAGATTTGTCACATGTGGATAAAGCTTACAGTTATATGTCAGGATGCTCTTGTCAATTGTGTAAAACAGTCAGTTGTCTACTTTTAGAACGTTTAACCTATTCTTCAAATGTTATTTATAGCTAATACTTCACTATAAAGATTAATTTTGTATTACACAATCATGCACTATAATTTGGCTAACACTACAGCCATATAAACTCACGTTCTTATTGCTAATAAGCCATTTCGTAGTTTGAACTGCACATGCCCATACCACATACGCACAACATAGGTTTATGTCGATCGATCTTGGAGATGTGCATGCGCAGTTCAGACTATGAAAATGGCGTATTTTATCATATATTGCAAAACAGATGGGTAGATGGGATACTGTATTAAACCATAATTATAATTATATAAGATATAAGAAATTTTATTGGTTTTTGTACATAGCATAAATACATATATCTAAAGTGGAAGAACACAAAACATTCTAACACAATTTAAAGGGATATATACAAAAACAACAAATAACTATTTATATAATGCATTTCACTTACATCTGTATGCAAGTACTTAGTTAAAAGAACAATATTACAAATATTTATTATAACAACAGACTATGATATAAAAGAAAATAAATAGGCCAAATAGTTCAGTTCTTATATTTCCCATTTTATAGCAATTAAATTTTCTATATTCATATAGTTTTTAAGACGCTCATAGATTTGAAGAGGTTAATCGCATTTCTTAAAATTACCAGAAGAAGTGATCCAAATGAGGGGACCAGAATATGAAGAAAGACTTTCTGAGAAGTCACAATCACCCCCTTCCTTCTGGGTAAAGCTAATCAAGGGTGACAGTATATGAAGGCCTGGAGTTTAGTTGTTCTTGGCCAAGAAATTACTTATATTTGACAGACCTAATGCATTTGAAAAAGACACTACTAATATCATATATGACACATTGCCAAGTTTAACAAATCTTGCAACAAGTTATTTTTATCTGGTTACAATCAAATTTTAAGTAGCTAGATTTTTTTCCTTAAAATATATAAAACTGCAATTGTAGTCTCATAATCAATCACCAAATTCAATTTAAATTGAAATGAAACTGAATTTATATATTAATTGACAAAATGTATATAAATTGTTTTTCTTCTTTTTGTAGTTGTGATGCTTTTAGTGATAATATATAATTATATTAGATATATTTTTATACAGTACTATTTGAATAGGCAATGTCTAAGGCTGAGATGAGCAAGACTCAACGGTGTACGGTAAGAATGGCCCCGGAAAAAATGGCCCCGGAAAAAATGGCCCCCGAAATAATGGCCCCGGAAAAAATGGCCCCGGTAAAAATGGCCCCATATGACAGGTAGGTAAAAATGGCCCCAATA